ACCCACTGCGTAGCTCTCCCTTTCCAGCTGCTCCTCAATAAACGCTACCGTCTGATGTAGAGCAGTCTCGGTGGAATAGCCCGGACGATACGCGTACTGATTTTTATGGAGAGAATGCCTCCACAGAGTTGTCTCCCTCAGATACGCGTCCACCAGCTTCTCCAATGTCTAAAGGAGAAACGATGTTAGGCTAATTGGCCTGAAATCCTTTGCTTTGGTGTAGCTCGTTCTTTCCGCCTTTGGGAACACTACCCTGGCCAGTTTCCATGCGCTGGGTGTGTAGCCCATCGCGATACATGCTCTTAAGGTTCGAGTCAATGGGCCCATGATCTGTTCCAGTCCCTCTTGTAGAAGAGCCGGAAAGACGCCATTCGGTCCAGCTGACTTGTAGGGCTTAAAGGTATTAATTGCCCATTTGACCTTCTCGGGCTTGACAATCTTGGCCGCCATTCGCCAATCCGCTTGTCGGGCTCTTCTGAGTGAGCCCGGCTTCTTATATGCAAATAGTTCTCCCGGCTCCCTATGGAAGCCCGAAAAGCTCACTTCCAGTAGATGCTCCAGACATCGCTCTCCAGTCACCACCTTCCCATTAGGGAGTGCGATGGCTTCCAGGATCGCATCCGGGTTCCTAGCGAGGATCCTGCAGATTCTTGCCGTTTCGGGCATTCCCTCCATTTCCTCGCAAAACTTCTTCCAGCTTTCCAGTTTCGCCCTAACCATAGAGTCTTTATATTCCTTCTGTGCCCTCCTAGAGAGTTCCCAGTCGGATTGGCGGCCCGTGTTCCTAGCTCTATTCCAGGCCCTGCGAGCCGCCACTCTGAGACCCTGCAGTCCAGGGGTCCACCAGGAAGTTCCTCTACTATTTGTAACCGCCCTTTCGGGGCAATTATTTTCGTAGCAGTTTACCAGAGATCTCTGCAAGTAGTCCACACAGGTCTCCAGTTCGTCTTCCCGTGCCTCTTAGGGAAGCCTCTGAGACTGCTGGCCAGGTCTTTCCTATAAGAGTCCCACTTGGTTTTCCTCGGGTTCCTGAATTTGACCTCCTTCCCCCTAGCCTTAGCTATCCTGAAGGTGATCTACCTGTGGTTTGAGAGCGAGGGCTACGTCAAGACTTTCCACTCCACTACCTTCTGTATCAACTGCCTGGAACAGACAGTGATGTCGAGCACTTTTCTTCTCGCTATAGTGCAGAAGGTGGGCTCGTCTCCTGTGTTAAAAATCTCTAGATCCGTGGATGCTAGGAACTCCAACACTTTCCTTCCTTTTTCATTGGTGTCCGAGCTTCCCCATACAGTGTGATGCGCGTTAACGTCACATCCCATGATCAAAGGAAGCCGCTTCTCTTGGCAGTATTCTGCTAGTTTTATCACCGGTGCAGGCGGCACCGCCTC